TCTGCTAGTTCTATGGGTAGTTGTTCATTATCCCTTCAGTAAAGACAGCATCTGAAAACAGCATTATTCAGGTATGGTCATCCAATTTCTAAAGGCTTGTGATTGAAAATAATAGGTAATTCTGTACTTTCCCCTGCTGTGTAGCTTTGAGCACCTCTGGGGAGCTTTTATTCTTCCCATCATTTCAAAAGCAGGCCTAGCCTGCTTCAGCACATGACTATGCATTTGGAAGTTAACTATGATTAGTTACCTATTAAAAGGGTCAGTGTGTTCTTATCTCAGAGGTACATGGCAACCAACCTGAATTCTCAACTCCCCTTCAAGAGATTACTCAGTAAGCAAGTGCACGAACTTATGAAAAAGTCAGATTGTTTTTCTGTCCTTTTCAGCCAGAGGCATTCTATGAAATGGTTACAAATTATTCACTTAGGGCAGTTGATGGACAAGATTTTCTTTCTTGCAAGGACATTTTCACTGATCTAAGTGGTATCTTATACTTAGTATTATTTTCATACTATTTAGGTTTTGATTCATGAAATGTAATGATAGACTTAAATGTATATTTTTTTTAATTAAGAATGTAACCCTTCTTTATATGGAACTGATTAAACAAATTCTAATATTAGCAGGACATAACAATCACAGTCACAATAACCAGAGCCAGGGAAGTATTAACCTCTCAACAAGTAGTTATTTTAGTGCCATATTACCCTGTTAGCTATGTATCACGACATACTCATCTTGGATCACCCTAAGAGTTTTGTCAAGGTCAGAAGCTGTTATAAAGACCCGAGTAAGATATTAACCAGGTTCTATGCTTATGTCGTATCCTACTGAACAGACATCCACAGCCACAAACTCCACACACTTATGCAAGCAAACATAGACCTCCACAGAACGAGCCACCTGGAAGGATACACGCAGTCTTCTGCTAATAAGGATTTGAGATCCTCCCGACGATACTTTGGTTAAAATATCAGATACTACAAGCCCTTGCCATAGATAAAAACATGCAGTCCGATAAAAGATATGTTGTGGGAAGAAGTACTACAACAGTTGCAGCTGTGCTTCTTCAGGATGCTCAGAACACAGCTTTCCCTGTGTATAGCAAAAGCCACCTTAGCCACAGAGGAGTAAAGAGCCAACAGACATCGACTTCATGGCATCTGCCTTCTATCTTTTTCTCTATTTAGACATGAAACAATCCAACTCAAGTTTTACAGAAGAGTTTTGCTCAGAGCTTTTCCGGACTCTAAATACAGTAAAAATAACTAAATAAAATACACTTTAGAGTGGCAGGAGTTAGTTTGGGGAAGTATTATTCTTATTTGTAAAATGTCAAATAATTTTTAATGTGCTCATACAACATGTATGTAACTTCAGAATTATATAGGCTAAATCACCTGTCAGTATATTGATCAAACTTGTAATTTCATACAGCCTCTCTGCAAAGCTTCACAGCCAGTTAATGCCTTCACTTTACCCACAGTAACTTAGGGAATTAGGCCACCATTATTTGTTTTTTTTTTTTTTGTACAGCATTGTTGTACCATAACTTCTCATAGTACGCTGAGCTTAGTTATGTTTCATTTTATATTTAAACTATAGAAGTCAAGCCATATTTACAAGACACACACTGGTCACAACTGCTTTTTGTCAATCTTTGCTATTAAAGAAATGGCTTCTGATCTATGTGGGAGATAACTGCTAGCTTTGAAGAAGAAACCTGATACTATCTGCTCAGACAGAAAAGATACAGAATTCACCTTACACACTTCAAAAATACACATCCAAAAAAGGAAGTTATGAAAGCTCAGAGCTTCTTCTCATCTGTGATACATGATACTGAATATTATTTTAAACAGAAGGAATACATATGCAGTTTGTAATATGCAGAAGGTAATTGTCTTCTGCTATTCCTACCGCCTCCTTTGATAAAATTCCTTCTTCCCTTTAGTCAAACCACATGTCTTAACACATACCTATCAGTTACAGTTCATATGACCGCAAGCTTCATTGTGCTCTTCAAGTGTGTTGATAAATGAAACAGCTTCTAAAGTTTGTTTGTCTGTTCTACCACTTTGTGGATCAGGTTGGAAGTGTGACAGACACTGAATAAGTCAATCAAGGTCTGGTTTAAATAAGCTTTGCCAAAGTGGAGGTTTTTAACATGGTTACAGACTTCTCTGAACAAAGTCATTTGTGCAGCCTGCTGCTCAAAACATATCACAACCAGACAGTGCTGTGCAGTTCGAAACTGCACTTTATTGACCTGGTACCATTTCAGTGGATTTTGAACAGTACAAACTGCAGCTCACTACAACCTTTTACCTACAGTACTGTATTCCAAAAACTAGATCCAAAATTTCTTGAAAAAACAGCCCTTCTACTGACAGCAAATTCATTGGAAAGTAGTACGATTCTGGCCTAATGGACTGGAGCTTCAAATTAAACAACACAATTTTTTATACTACATTGAAACCAGGAGAGGATTCTTAGTTGTTTCTCCTATAGAACTTGCAGAGACAAACTCATCCCTTTTCAGTTAGGGAGGCATTCATATATTAATTTATTACTGAGCTAAATGCCTTTATTATCCCGTCACAGTATGTTAGGGAAGCAGAAAATTTTTACTGTTGTTACATGGAAAACAATTTGGTCACAGTTTTATTAAACAAGCATTAAAGAAGAACAATTCAGGTATCTCAATAAAAACACAAGCAAATATAAAATACAAAAATGACTTGGAAAGGTAAACTGCAGTAAAGAAAATGTAAATTTTAAGATTAATGGAAATAAAACTTAATTCACTGCTTGTATGCTGCTGAGCTTCCTATATCCATCTATCCCTCTCAAAGAGCAAAAAAAAAAAAGACATCCAACGTCAGTGAGCACGAAAACAGAATTGCCTATGAGATATCCTCCTCTGTTCTCCCATCGGATAATCTTGGCTATGTGTCTAATACGATCCAGAACAGACCCATGGGGCACTCTAATCGCACAGACTCGCTCACATGCTCTCTACAGGATCTGCCAAACTACCTGAAACCTCCAGTTGCCGAGAATTTAGTTGATTAAACACTGGCACATAAAACAGAGCAAGAAAAAAAACAATCATTTACACTGTACATAAAACGGCAGCAGATTGCTCATTATTGTAGAGCTTTTCTTCCTGTATAGACTGGTTATGCTTTCTTCATACATGATATATTAAATATCAGGAGGCAGCAGGCATAGAGCTCATGTTGTACTTCAAAAATCATTAAGGATATTAACACCAGAGAGATGAAGATGCTTCTAAATAAACTTGATCAGTCTTCTTTAAATTAAAAACAACACAAAATCACTTAAAGTAAAATGGGAGGAGTAGAACTTATGCTTAGAGCAACATTAATTAAATTGCACTTTGAACATCTTATTAAATTTACTATTAGACAGACTATGTAATGCAAGTAAAGCACAGCTATTTATAACTATCCCCAACCCACAGCAATCTAGTCATAGAACCATTTCCCAGACTATGTTATTGTTATACCAAACAGACTACTCTTTCATTTCTTGTCAGTCGTAATTACAGTTCCATAATTGAAATACAGTAAATTACCATGCAGTACCTTTGAAAGATGGTTCACTGAGGTTAAGCTGTCATTACAATTACTGTATAATAAAAAATGATGATTTTAAATGCTCTAGTTTTCTCTCAAAGGAAAAATAAGAATTTAGTTCAAACAGCTCAGATGACACAAGCATCTCCAGGATCATGTAAACAATGAAAAACAACATATTTAAGCAAAGCCAAACAATATTAAGTAGAAATGTAAAGCTGTATATAAGCTCCAACTACTTTAAAAAACTGCATATTTTAAAAACAATTCCTTACAAAAATACTTTTTGTAAGAACTCACAATCATACAGCATCTATGTAACACTTTCCATAGGCTTCAAAAAGCTTAAGAGGCTTCTTTCAAGTTTATTTTAGTTCAATTCTACATTGTTTTCAGACACGACTATTAGATAACTGCAATTCACTTAACACCAAGGAGGTTGTAGAAACTACAACACCAAAGAGGTGGGAATAAGAATAAACGCAAACATTTCTAAGCACAAAACTGGATCTGTAATTTTGACTTTCACATTGGTTAAGGACAACTTGCTTTTAGAAATTTCCTCGACTACTTGGCACAAACATAAAATGAAGAAAAGAGATACTGAAAAGACACAAATAACTTTCACTATAAAAATAATACTTAAAATGGTAGGAGACCTGTTCCCTTACAATTTTGTTTCAATAAATTACTAGATGTTGTCTCTGCAAGGACAACTTCACAAAAGACATCTTTTGAAAAACAATACCAGGTATATTATTCTAAAAAATGACTGTGCCTATTCTCCCCAAAAAAGACTGCCCCGTCCCACTGGAAAAGGCAATTCTTGCAGACCTCTTCTCCTTCCTGGTTCCAGCCACCTACTCCCTGATGTTTTGCTTGTGCTGGCATTCATTTGAACATTTAGTTAACAAAATCAACTCAGATCAAAAAGGGGAGATTAAAGAAAGAGAACAGGAGAGAGAAAGAAGAAAGAAAATAGACAAGTCCTGCCAGAACTTTCAAAGTTGTCATTTCAGCAGCAGCAGTGGCAAACCACAGTGGGACTCCTCAGGCCATTCTCAATACTTCAGGCATTTCACTCTGCCCATGAAAAGCAAATGGTCCACAACACCATCCTCCCACCCATTCCCTGTCAAAAGTTTTTGCTGAAGCAAAACTAAGCATGTAATAAATGTTCGAAAAAAGGACCATAACTTCAGCTTTGATAAAGAATCAAAATATTATATAACTGTATGAAATTAGACTTATTTTCAGCAGCTAAGAATCTTAGTCCCAATATTTACCTACATGATTTGCCAAGAAAAAAAAACAGGATCTGAAAGCATGCAGTACACAACATCTGTCAGAGGTATAGTTTTTCTATGTAAAGATTAATTGTACTGCTTATTTCACCTCTGTTACTTTCTCCAGGCTCTGCTGTAGATCCAGCAGTTCTTTATCATGTTGCTCTTTAATTTTATCCATCTCCATGTCGTGGCTAGACACTTCTTCCTTCAGTGCTCCTTTTAAAGCCGTAAGCTCACGCTCTCTCTTTCTCAGTATTTCTTCTTGTTGATCCTTTGCCACTAATACTTCTTGCAGATCCTGCTTCATCTGCATCAGCTCCTTAAAAAAAAAGAAAAAAAAAATTAAATACAGCTAGCACCAATGACTCCAGAGTAACTAGCCTTTACAACACACAAAAAGTTTCTTAGAACTCTGTAAATTGAATTATGCCAAAACTATTAGTGTTAACAAATAGATATAGCATTCCCATTCTCAGATCAATTATCTTCTAGGTTCGTGAAAAATATTCCCAGGCACTACAGAGAGAATGCTAGTGATCACAGTGTTAATGTAATGTTCATGTAACAAGTAGTTCTTGAATTATACAGTTAAACAGTATAGCTACTGTGCAACTTAAGATGCATTGAGAATAATCCCCAAAGGAGGGGGGAATTAACCATTTCATTTGTGTTGCAGAGAAGAAACATTTCGATATGAGCTGGCCCACAAGGATAACTTCGTTTCTTACATGACTGACACATCATCTGCAGCTTTTATAGAAGGCTAGGGATTTACTAAATGTAAAATGGCACTGATGTATCAATATGCACAAATCTAATAAAATGTTCTCTATATCATCTACAGTAAAAGAAAAAACTGCTATTATTCAGGCAACAGCGGATTCCTATTGCATCCTGACGTGACAGGAAAGCCCTAACTCTTGTGTTCCTTTTCACGTGCTGTCCCTTCTTTCTCCCTGCTCTCATTGATAAACAGCTAATGCATATAATGCTTTGATGAGTTCTTTGAATTTTTGCAGTGGAATCTCATCTGGTGTTAATACGTACACCTTTACCTTTTCTAAATATTCTTGAATATGGTCTTCCCTTTTCTGTCCACACTTCTTTTCGTGAAAACAAACAGCAGGAGCATAGAATAACTCAGCTGTCCCTCGCCCATACATTATTTTTCCTCTGTTCCTTTAAATAATGGGACTTGCATATTGTATTCTTTTTAGTGCTAATTTACTTACTTACATGCCCTCTTAAGCAAGTTACTAATGTTAAATTACTTGGATGAAATGGGAAAAGCTAAAGCATGCCTGTCTTCTATATCTCAATTCTCACTTTTTGTGTTTTTTTTTTTTTAATCTTCTGATGCTTTTTTTAGTATTTTCTTTCCCCACTAACCTCAATCAGAACTTCCTTCTCCCCTTCATCAGTATGTTTTGCATTGTCCAGTTCATCATGCATTTCAGACAGTTGGTCTTGAAGATCTCTTATCTCAGTCTGGTATTGCTCCCGCTCCATCTTCACTTGAAAAAGCCTAATCATGGAGGAGAAAAAGAAGTTTTTAATTTGTAGAAATGCTAATTCTTCCAAATACTAAACAGATTTGAGTACCTATTCCCATGCTTATCACCCAGTAGCAGGATAGAATGAAACAAAGCAATAATATGTCAAGGAGGGTAAAAATAAGAACTCTTTTTAAGAGATATTTAAGTGGAAAGATTTTTTCTGAACAGGCATACAGACAATTGTCTTGTCTAGTGTTCAAACACTAGTATGTTTATAAGACTAAACAATACATTATGACTATGAAAAACGATTACGACATTAAAAGTATTCACCTTATAAATGTGAATACATTTATAAAAAGACCACAAATCCAGAAATCTTTGTTTTTACTTCAAGATATTCTAAAAATAATGATAATCGATCAACAACTGAAGCATTTCCTAAAATAATAAATCCCACGCTGTATGATTTCATTCATCTAAACATTTTAAGAGGGAAAAAATGCAATGAATAAGTTTCCTAAAGCAAACTCACTCCTCTAGGTTTTGTCTAAGTTCCTTCTCACTTTCCTCGAGACGCTCTTTTAAGGCATCTTTTTCACATACACTTTGATCAAGTTGCAACTGAAGTTCTTTCAAGGTTGCTCGTGTAGCATCTCTCTCTTCTTTGGCATTTTGCTGATTCTAAATTGTGCACATCGAAAGTTGAGCAAGATAATTAACTAAACATAAAGAACCTTGTGCATTGTAATAAATTATATATTGTAATATGAAAATAGCTATTTCAAAGCATATTTGAAATATTCAAAAGCTTTCTAACAACGACAGACAGTACCTTAATTTCCAGATCCATTTTTTTCTGCAACTCTTCCACTTTCCTTTCAAGTTCTGTTTTTTGTTCCAACAAAGCTTTCACCTCAGCTGAAGAGTCAGAAACCTACAGTCAAAAAGAGATGTTTATTCCAACAAAATCAAGTTTTTTTGACAATTTCCTTTTAAAATCTAAAATAAAACCACAAGCAAGGCTTATTAAGCTTCACATCAACTGCCTGAGCTCACCTGGGACTTTTCATATGAGTCAAGCGAAGCTAATATTTTCAAAGAAACTGTTAATTGACTTCCATATAACTTCTTATTAATTGCTCAAAACATGTTGCCACTAGTACAGAAAATACTGTAAACCTAAAAAAAAGTTTAAAACTAAGCAACTTCTGAATTAAATCATTAATATTTGGGGCCAAATTTCACTTCATGATATCACTGATAACAGTGATATCAGAGCAAAAGAAAGTGTGTGCCTCTGTCTCTTATCTGAAGACACAAATTAAACCTCAGGGTTTTTTTTTTTTTTTTTTTTGTGATTTTTCACATTTTATACTTTATTTTCATTCTTTATAGACAAAGATAAAATGACTCCCAAAAGCAAGCATTTAGTGCTTTATATGCTATCACTGCAAAACATACGAACTTCTTCACTTTTTCCTATTCTAAAAAACAAAACAAACAAAAAAAAACCAGTGCATCACTTCATAGGAAATAATAACTTTTTAAAAGACAGATTGTCAAATGAAATCAAATATTGTAACACAGCTTTTGAGACACATCCTAGGTTAGTGTTTTATTTAAACACTACATACCAAACTATCTCTTCAGATACATCTATTTTCAGCATTATAATGAGGAATGCTTCAACATTATTTTTAAAAGCTATGTATGTTAGCTTCTCCTTTCATCCAATAACCCTCTGATATTCCTTACTGTTAAGCTTTCACTCCTCTCTTCATCTAATATATAGAAGCAAAATGAACCCTGAGACGGCCCTTGTGGCAGATTCCTTCATTTTAACCATTACCAGAAATTATTCTCATAAGGTTGATTCAGTAAAGAACTTAAACATGAGTTTATCCTTAATTTACACTATTGGGAGACAAGAAGAATGCTATCACTGGATAGCACTGGATTCAAACTTTCTAAGTAAACTGCATTTAAGAATCCCTTATAATAGATTTGCAAAATATTCTTCAAGTTTATTTATGTATTCTTGCAAACTGTGCATCTCAAAAATATCTTAAGTAAATTACTAGATTTAGAAAATGCCAAGATCAGTGTTTGAACACTGCACTAATATGAGACAAGCCAAACGAATTATTTACCTGTGCATTTCCAGCAGCTCTTGACTTTAAAGTCTGAATTTTCTCAAAAACCAAATTGACTTTCCTCTTTGTGGCATCATCATTATCAGCACTTCTGAAACACAAATACTGTGTAAGTGAGGAACGAAACTTCAAGTATGTACAGGAATTTAAGTGTATCACGTGTACTTTAGTTCTTTTGTCCTTCCTTCCTCATCTTTAAATAAGTCATCATTAGAAATGGCAAAGGTTTAAAAAAAAAATGGAGAAAGCATTCAATGCACAACAAAAGAACTTCTGTCAACCTAAGAAATATAAGTATTTAAAACAAAAAAGCTTAAATTATGATTTTTCACCACTAAACTCACAAGAGGTATGAATCAAACTCTTCTCAAATCTGCTTATGAGCAGAAACCTGTTCACAAGCCGCCTGAATTTATAACAGAAGTTCATCTCCAGAAGTATTTAAAAGAGAGAAAAAAAATCATATTCTGATTTACAATTTCCAGGTACATTTAATCGAATCCTCATGTAAATTCTGAACACATGGATATGTCAAGACCCTATATCACCTTAAAGGACAAAGCTGAAATACACCAACTATGTAGTATTCATTAACAGTCTATTTAGTTACAGTTTTGATTTTACAGTGTCAAATTTTAAACATATAGAAAATAAATGTTTGGAAGACGCAATTTCACCTCAAGGAGTTAACTATGTTTACTTACCCTTCTTTAAGGTAATTATAAAGGATCTGCTTAGCTGTCTCTTCATTTGTTTGTTGTGCAATATCTTGCTGGCCTTTCAAGAGATCAGGAGTTGCCTAAAAGAAAAAGATAAATATAAATGTAAAAAAAAAAAAAAAAAAAATCATATGAGGGTTTGCAAATACAACATTTACAACCAAACTCCTCTATTCTATTCTATTATGAAGAAATATACTTACTGTGGTCCCCACCATATTCATTCACTCAAACAAGAATAAGACTGTTTTTGAAAATATGTTTTCTACAGCCTCATCCAGGGAATTACTTTTTGTTTTATTATCCACCCGAACAATGCTGCTATCCCATTCAGAAGTATTACATGATAGGAGTTTGCTTTAATGAAGAACAGAAAAACATATATCTAACAATAGGACAGCTTTGGTATATACTACAGCACAAAATGCAACTCAGAGTACATTCATAATTACCTGTATACTGGGGACGGACGAACATGTTTTTACAGAAATCTTCTTGGTTCCTGTATCTGGTAGGACTGTAAATCGGTTTGGCAACAACAGAGTAGAGGTTACTGTTTTAACTTCCTCACTTTTACTCTGGCCTGGGAGTGTAGATGATCTAAACTTGAAGCTCTCAGCATAAGTTCTATCTTGTTTATGATACTGCAAAGAATTGAAATGGTAGTTCTGAATGTCTTTATCAGGCATTTGCAGTTTTCCAGTACTTCGAGCCAAACCTTTCGTCTCTGTGGAAAGCAGCTTCTGATCTCTAGGTAACTGCTTATGAAGGCAAACTTCAGATGGTCTTAGCAACTGCTCAGTTGACTTACCCAAGCTTTTACTGAATTCATGCAAATAACCTGAATTTACCTCATGACTTGACGACAAGGCACTATCAACACTTCTTGATCTTTTACGATCATCTGGGTGAATCTTATTCCTTTTTCCCATCCTACCTCTTCTCTGAGGACCAACTTTCTTATCAAACTTTTCAATTAGCTCATCTACTCCTGGAAGTGAACCAGTGTCAATATCACGGCCAGTTCCAGGCAAAAATGGAATATACCTTCTGTTTTCATGGCGATTAACGTTGTCTGCATAGATAGCATACTCTTGGTCATCAAGTAAAAATCTGTACAAGGAATTTGCAGAAGTGGGAGTAGCTGAAGAGGATGATGATCTTCGTGAGTCATCCAACACGGGCCCACCTGAATCTTGTCTGCGGAAAGGAAGAACATCTGGTCTAGGTTTCCTTGTTTCCATACGAGCCACAGGACTAACACATGGGGATCCTCCTGCGGATAAAAACGAATCCGAAACATGCACCTCATTGGAAGTGATAACGTTACCGGGACAGTCCAACGCCTGCTTTTTTTGGTCTTCCACTGACCTGTTCAAGGGTATTTTATTTGCACTTGCTTTGTTTGACTCTGCAAGATACGGATTTATTTTCTGTAGGGACACTACTTTGGATGAGGAAATCCAGGGCCTTGCTTCAGTTTTACCTTTATCTGCAAAAGATTTAGATTTATCACACAGAGAAGATTGGTAAGTATCCAAGTTCAAGTTACTTTTTTCAGGATCATAAGGCTGTAAAAGCTCAGGATGTCTTTGAAAGTTCAACAAATTGGAGGATTTCAGTGTCCTGTCTTTAAAATTCAATGTTCCATTTTCTTTTTCATCCATATTGGTTATCTTTAGGCTTTTGAACATACACGGTTGCACATGCTGTGTTCCAGGAAACTTTGCGCGTTCACCATTTTTGTCGTCCAAGTTATAGGCAGAATTAGAGTCTGCGGTTGGCCTACTTACAGTCTGAGAAACGACCTGCTGTTCTTCTCCAGGCAGAGGAGGATTTTCTGACAAACATCCTTCTGCATTGTTTAGCACTATGTAAGGATGCCCATCAATTCCTTGTACTCTAATACTGACACCATAAGATCCTGTCTTAGAATTCTGGGCAGTGCTGATTTTTTGAACCTCCTCAGTGGCAAGTTCAAGAGTAACTTCATAGTCCTGCTGCACTTGCTTAAAACCAGCAAAATAGGGCTCCATTATCAGATAATTATAGCTGTGCAGGGAAAAAAAAAAAAAGTTTAAAATACTTCAGATTATTATTTGCTTCATACAACCATTCATTCCATACTTCCAAAATTAAGTAATATGCATTGAGGTGAATACGCAAACTCAAAACGAGCACATTGTGAAACAAAGACTAACAGCTGACTGACAGATTCTGGGTTAGTGACATTTTATGAATGTAAATATTGTGAAATAACAACAGTATACAATTAGCTTCATATAACTTCTGCTAATTGCTTTGCAACAGAAATTCAATAGAATTCAAATAATAGAAGATCTAATATTTTTGAATTTAACATAACACACATTTTATTTTAGGTACCTTCACTATATATACTGAAAGACTGTTCCTTCAAAAATCAACGTCCTTTTACGGCCAGCAATTAATATCAGCCATAATCACACCTAAATGTGAAAGCCTAGAAGATTAAAAAATGCAGACAGTTTTAGGTTACCAGTTAAAGGTAACTAAAGCACTGCAGGCAAGGTTAATACCCTCATGCTTTTAAGTCATGCTTTTTATCTGCTTTTTCAACTTTTGTTTTCAGAAATGGAGATGTGTCACTGTTTCCTCTAATACTGTCTCCCTATGTCCTGTAAAATCTTTTATGCCACTATCATATTTTACAGTAAATGTATTACTTGTTTCTAAGTACATCTGAAAACAAACTTTTTGATCCATTACCTCATTGTCCTCCACAAGTATAAACTATACTACAAATTAATTTAACGATCTGTTTGGGGGCTTTTTCCAGAAAACTCCAGCTGTTGTTTTAAAACGGACACTTAGTTGACCAACAGGAATGGAAAAAGACTTTTAGTGTTTCCAAAGTTGATGACGTTTCTTTTTTTCCTGAAAAATGAACTAACTCCATGTTGCAGGTGCCTGGATTGTTTCAAACTTAGAAAACAAAAAAGATTAAACTGCCCTTGCACTTTAAATGCTAAATCCTGTTTTTTCATTCCCTAGGTACTGCTTTTGTGGGTGGTTTTATTTCACCATCATCATGTTTTATGAGCAAACAGCCAACTGGTTAGTTACTGATGGCAGAGGTAATTCAGCAACAGTAGGAGCTGTGTCTATAGAGACTGGACCAGAAAAGGGTGACATCCTGGTATGAAACCTGGAAGAGGCAAACTTTTGAACTAAGCTAGAGACTTGAGCAATCACTGCAGCCTGACAACAAGAATGCTAAAGAAAGGTGAGTAACTGACATACAAGGGGATACTAAAATAGTAGTATCACTCTAAAAACAAGCCTCTGTAGCCAGTTCCATTCTTAGGTATCTCAGCGTGAAGTATCTCCCTCAAATATTCTAATCAGCAGAAGAATTATCTTTTTCTCAATGAATTCAAAAGTTTCACTTGATATTAGCAGCATGCTAGTCTACAGCCAGTTCCTCTTTTTAACTTCCACACTCCCTGAAAAGACCTCTCCTTTCCTTAAGGAACAGCCCCAGGAATTCATCAATTGCAAATTCCCTTCATCTGTAGGAATCAGCACATTCTTCTCAAGATAGAAGGCATCAATTGATTATTTTAATGAAAGAAAACAAACAAAACAAACAGAAAGAACCACTCCAAAAACAGTCTCCATGACAAAATTTTCCTTAGATACAAAAACATTTTGTAAACTAGTTATCACAGGGATTCACTTTCCTTAGTAAAAGGAAATAAAACAGACACTATGAATCTGATCTCGGTTTATGACTTCCCACAGTAGGAAGAGAAACAGAACAAAGAAAAAGGCACCACAAAGCCAACGAAAGACCATGGGCAGCAAAGGCCGAGGGAAATGCAGAAGCGAAAGGGGACGAACAACGGGAGGAAGCACAAGTACCAAAACACGGCACTGTCTTGGGCCTCCATTCTATAGGTTTCTCCAAAGTATTTGACCTCCTTTTCTGATTATTCACAATATCTCACAATAGTTACACTGTGCCTGTGAAGAAACAGAGGGAAAATGGCAAATGGCAGACGTTAGTTTTAATCTCTTGCAAGTCGATGAAGAGACCTCCACTGATCTGTTGAGGTTTTGATCATGGCACTGAAGTCTGCTACCGAGCTGCATGATGACAGCTTAGACAGCAAAAGAAAAAAATAGATATTACTGTACAGAGTTCTAACTTTAAAAAGACACGTACCATAAAGGAAACAGCTAAACAAATCCAATAACAGTTGTGTTGATGCTGGAAGAAGAATGCAGGCTCTCCATTCTGCTCTTCGAACTGCCCAGTTCAAAGTAACGGTTCTCTTTCCCCCCCACCAACAGAAGCATCAATGTCTTGGTATAGTTTTTTTTTTTTTTTGCACCAACAAAAATGAAGTAGTTTCAAAAATTCCTGTCTTAGAATAAAATAAACATTTTGAAATTATTCTTTCAATTTTTATATTATAAGATGTTGATGCGGAGTTACTACTACAGATACATTATGAAAGACTCAAAAGTTACATCTAGCTTTATCATCATACTAGTTTTAGCAAAATAACAAATTTAAAAGTTTCTTTTTTTAAAAAAACTAATCTATATGACTATCTACGGGGGGAAAAAATCAGTGTCACCACGGCATGATCTAAAGTTCTAAAACAGTTACAATTTCTTAAATATTTCTTTCAAAACCAGAAAAATAATCCTCACTGCATCAAAAAAGACACTGTTACAAAGTATACTTCAAATGAACAATAAGATCATTAGTTAAAATTCAGACTTCATTAATCCATCTTTTGACGCCGAAATAAATTCAAACTCTAATTTTAAAAAGCAACCTTAATTTTACCACTTTACATTCCAGTTCACATGGCGGCAGAAGGAATTTACCATGCTCACAAATGTAAAAAGTTGCACCCAGTTCTAGCTAGGCCTGATCATTGCTCTAAGCCAGTGGGAAGGAAAAAAATCATTTATTCATTCAAAATTTCATTTTTAGAATATGCACCTGTTATCAACTATTACACCACTGAACTCTCTACAGTTTTACTCTGTCCCATACTGCCACATTGATTTTTGCATTTCCAGGTGCTCTAATACTGTTCCATGTCCTCCTTCTCAAGCGTCTTTCCCACATATAACTCATTTAAGCATTAGCACCACAGAAATCAATATATTTGGGGGAAAGAAACAAAATAAGAGAGGAAGCTTTGAACAAATTCTAGGGTTCTTCTTTTTTCCCCATATTTATAGATCTTTTACATTTTCAGCTCAGGGCTATTATAGAATATTTACTGGATAATAGCACTACAGCAGAAGTAAGAAATAAGGAATAAGACCTAATGGAAGATGCATTATGTTGACTGATACTGCTATTAAAATTAAACAGACCAAAATCAAGATGTGAAAAATAACTGGGATGCAGAAAATGTGTACTGGTCCTGCCACTCACATTTTGGAGACGTCCCCAGACTTCATACTTCTTTCAATGTAAAGAGACAGTAGACTGTTACCAAAATGACATCTTATCAAAGAGTCTTTAAAAAAAAAAAATAAAATTGGGGAGCTTATTAAGAAAAATATAATGATGATTACTGTTTGATTACAGTTAAATTCATATTTTATGCAAACATTATACAGTCTGCAGCTCCAGCTTTGGCAGGCATACAGCAACAGATTAAAATGAAAGGTCTGAAGCTCTTACCCTGCCATGTGCCTGGCCCACTCCTAGCATGGAGTCACCAACTCAAAAGTGGAGGCAACTGAATGATTCACGAGTCAGTTTGCAGCCTGGCATCCTAAGGTAAATGCAATCAGTCAATCTCGTTTTATGTACTACAAATGACTGAAATTCTGATGTGTGACAAAGGGGAGGAGTTGGCAGCTGGGTTCACTGGCAGCTACCACTGTCTGTTCTTAATCCTCTTTAAGCCTGCTGCAGCCCTCAAATGTTAGGAGAGCACAGTTTGTTTACTGTTAAGCTTATGAAAAGAGGTTAGATATTTTAACACTAGTTAAGAGGAGATTTTCCCTATTTGTGGGGCTGCTTACTGTCTCCTTATAGTTACTTTGTAAAGAAAGAAACTTTCTTTCCACAAAAAAATCTTAATTAAGACAGTCTTCCTATTATTTTATGAAACCAATTTTTATTTCCTATTTGTGAAGTAAATGTTATTTCAATAGCATGTACCAAATAAAGCAGAACATCACTGCCTTACTAATAACTACTTTAACAAACTTTCTTTTGAATATATTTGATTTGCTAAAATGATAGAGAATCTTTATAGTCAAGGACACAGAATCACCAATATTGTTTCGAGATGACACACTGAACTACAATTTAGAACAGTGAAGATATGTTGTCATCTTCCCCTTAATAATATTATCTGCTGCTCTCAGCAAGCCAAATTTTACCAAGCAAAGTTTGACCTAAAAACTTCAGAATTGTCCAGAAAAAGGAAACAGCTTGACTTTCTACAGTTACATGGTATTAACGTTAAGCAGCTGGATTTACTAATTACCAAGCTTGGTAAATCCAGTCGTTATCTCAAGGAAGTTTAAAGAAACACTGACTTAAAAACCCAGGAAACCCAGTCAGACACAACTGAAGCAAATTTATACCCCTAGGTAACACACAGTTTTATGGGTATCATTGGAGAGGACATTCCTTGGACAACTACATTTTTTTGGAATTTCAATAACAGCTATTTTTTTGCTGTTTTTGAAAAGTTCAAAAAAAAAAAGTGTAAAAAAAAAAAAAAAAAAAAACTGTCCAGAGCTGAAAGAAGCAAACTTCAGAAATGAGCTTGCCATTGATTCAGCCTGTGATTGCAGGTCTTCGTATCTATACACACGTATTAGCCCCTTCCTCACTTTGAAACCTCATGAAAATTGTGGGCAATTCCTGCATGATCACACTCCCTGCTTCATTAGGCTACTGGATCAACTTGCTTAAAATCCAGAATATGTTGGTTTGAATTATATTTTACTTCAATTTAGCATTTTTCCACTGGGCTTCAAACAACACAGGCCACTACATTCTCCCATTGAACTCCC